TTGAAATGTCTCATCATTCTATTTTTCCACTTCTACCTCATTTTTCATTGATTTTTGTTCAGATTTTTATTACCTTTACTTTTAAGATTGTCAGAAAATAGCAGCAATATTTAAAATTTTAATTTTTTCTTTTAATTTAAAATGTAAAAATTGTTGTTCTTTTAAAGTTTTTTTCCCCTAAAACTTTACCAAAATTTTTCAATGAAACAATTAAATGAATAATGAACATTATCTTAGTCTACCAATAACGCCTTGAAAAATCAATGCTTCCGCAGAAGTTTCTTCATTCTACCGACATCTGATTGCTGCTGCCCGTCCAACCTTTGTGCATATCAGACCGAGCAATCACTAATTACCGTCAAAAGTTCATTGTTATTGCGGCAAACTGAGATCTACTGATCATTATTGCCGATGTTGGTTTCATTCTAGCCAACATATTTTCAGGAATAAAATTTTCATTAAAAACAACAACACTCCTCCCCAACAGGTCAACAAAGGTGGAGCTGATTTATAATCATCAAAAATCAGCCAGTTTATCCGTTTAACGGTCAAACAAAACTTGCATAATAGTCTTAGTCTTAAATCAACCGCTGTCTCAACTACAATAAAACTTATAATTTATGTTTCCATATACCGAATGTTGCAATTAACAAATTCCATATCAAAGCTGTCCTTGGCAAACAAAAAATAAAAAAATAAAAATCAAAAATAAAAATTAAAGACAAAAAACGAAAAATAGCTGCAGGTTTTGAGAAGAATTGTCAAGATTATAACAGTGAAAAGAATAATAATCATTCGACCACGACAAAATGGCAATAGATAATTTAAAAAGTCTTATCCATTATAAGTTTTGTGTTTTGGACAAACAGGAAGACTCTTCTTAAAAAAAAAGTAATGCAGTGAAAAAATGGCCGATAATCAGATAAAAGCAGGTATTTAATAGAGACAGTATTTTCAATAGATGTAGGTAATTTGTCTAAAAAAAAAAAGAAGAAAAAAGAGCAGATAAATGATGTTCTATCAAAAGAACCGTAAAAGCTTTGTTTAATAACCATCAAAAATTGCAAGCAATCAATTGTTCTAAACAGTAATGCATACCTGAAACCAAATTTTTATCTGCGATTCATTAAGTCCAAGTTCATGAGCTAATTCTTGACGTCGTTTTTCAGTTAAGTATTTATTATCTGTAAACTGTTCCTTTAACCGTCTTAACTGTTCAGCAGTAAAAGCAGTTCGCGGTCGTTTCTCTTCTTCACTGTTTGGTGTCGTTTTCCGTTTAATACGACGACAACGAGGACCTGCAAATCCAGAAGATTTAACAGCTTTTTTCTAGTTTATGTCAAAAATTATGAAAAAATGACATTTGAGTACAAATTAATCAAAAAATTTTGCTGTACGTTTAGATAGCACTGTTACTTCAGCTACCTGATGAGGGACGATCTGAGTATCGTGTACAGAATATCCAAGCAGGAAACGGTACTGCTGCAGGTTCCGGTACGGCAGAACTACTTGCTTGAGCGATTTTATCCTTAAGTTTTTGAAAAAAATATATAAGAAATTTTATTGAGAAACATTGGTTTAAAAACTGAAAAAATTTGGCACATCAATTTTTTCAAAGCTGTATCTATCAGAAAAAAAAAACGAATGAAAGAAAAATAGAGCAATAACGTGTAAACTTCATCTGTCATCATTTACCTTCCCAAAATCAGGATCCAAAATATTTTGAACAGAAAATTTTAGTCCAGGACTAACAGATTCTGTGCTTCTGTTCATCGGCTCGGGTGACGAAAGATCCTCAGATGTGGAATCTGATGCATCCATCTACACTACCCTCTCTACCTCTTCAGTGTTTGTTATATAATTTTCTAAATTCAAAGCAATCACAATATTCCGTTTCAAAATTTTGTTGTAATAACGAAACAAACCAACGGTAAATATTTTGCTTCCAAAAAATACCGTTTTTAAATTAACCTCTAGTCCTCTGCTGTATAGAAAAAACTGTAAGTGTAGAATTTTATAACAGACAATGAATACCTTAAATATAGTAGAAAAAATTTGATGAAAATGAAAAAAGGCATATATTCAAGCAACTCAACAAGTGTAAGACAAGACAATAAAATAAATTTGAAAACATGTTAATAAACTATTTGGGCATCATAACTATTTCCTAAGTGTACGGTGGAAAATTCAGCGAAGTAAATTTAACTTTTCTACATCTTAATAATACCAAACATGATTAGAAATAAGCAGCAAACGAAAGTTTAGTATTTTGTCTTTTAAATATAGACGATCAAAATCAGCAAAATGAACAGCGCGATAAGAATAATTTTCTCCGGAAAAAAAAAATTAAGATATTTTTTCTTCCATGTATGAAATAACATATGGGTGGCATATTTGTATCGTTTGCAGATTTTTGGCCGTAACTGAAGAACTGAATTGCTGCCCGCAACCGGTAACGATCATTAAAGTGGTGTCGGAGCAAATGTTAACCTCAGCCCGCAATTCGCTTCTGATGTCCTGTCGAAAACGAGTTACACAGAGCAAAGATCTGATGATCATCGTTAAGCTCCTTCCCTTGATTTCATTAGAGCCGCCCCAGTGTGAACAGCTTTGACGACAATGATCATCGTCATTATCATCATCATCGTCATCGTCGTCGTCGTCATCATCAACATCAATATCAACATCATCATCACCACTTATCATCATCATCGTTACCGTTATCGTCATCATTATTATCATCACCGTTACCAGTACTAGCAGTAGCAGTAGTAGCATCGCTAACTGGATTTGCTACAAAACATAATTGCTAAACAACAAACACTGATAACTTTTTATACATTCCAA